TTTTACTGGCAGTCAGCATTTAAACGGCCTCAACGCTAGACCTCACACTCGCGCCGCCGGAATAACGGTTATTTTTAAATCACGTCTAACTTATTCTCGGCTTCCTATCTCGAGCACTCCTTACTTCTAATTAGTAATTGTATTTTCATTATTCATTGTTATTTGCTACGTACTTATAAATTTAAATTGCCTGTGTAATAGAAGAATATATCTACATTTTGTTTTTGAGAGTGAAGACGCTTTTATTTGCCTAGCAACAACCCCACAAGTGGTGACCCCGAGAAGAACATAGCGTACAAAGTACATCAATGTGGCAAGATGCTAGCGCAGATGCATCGAAAAGCAGCACTGGTGACAAGGAAGCGGTACTTTGCCGAGTAGGCATTAAGATGCCGCCATTTTGGCCCGAAAAACCGACGCTTTGCTTTGCACAGTTGGATTGCCAATTCGCATTAGCGAATATTACATCGGATGTCACAAAATATTATCATGTTATATCAGTGTTGGATCCAAAAATTGCTGCGGAAGTCGAAGATCTAATAATTAGACCACCGGCGAACGAGAAATACGACGCATTAAAACGTGAGTTGATTGCTAGACTATCTGCTTCAAGAAGTGAGCAAATCAAACAGTTGCTCATGAATGAGGAATTGGGAGATCGCAAGCCAAGACAGTTTTTGCGGCATATTCGCAGTTTAGCCGGATCAGGGTTCCCAGATGAGGTCGTGCGCACCTTATGGTCGAGTCGGCTACCCAGTTTGCTACAAACTATAGTGGCAATGCAAGATAACCTTCCACTCGACCAACTTGCCCAATTAGCCGATAAAGTAGCTGAGGTTACGCCACATACGTCAGCACAACAAGTAGCTTCAACATCCACTTCAGACTCATCGCCAGCATTCGAAGACCTGAATCGGAAGATTGATGCGCTGACCAAGAGGCTCGATGAAATGTCGACAGCAAGAGGACGTCGCGACTTCCCGAAAAGGAGGTCGAAATCCAGCAGCCGGCGCCGCAGTCAGTCGAGAAGTCGTTCTCGTGCTGATGGCCAGCGATACTGCTGGTATCACTTCAACTACGGCGAGAAAGCAGCTAAGTGCATAAAGCCTTGTAAATATACAAAAAACTAGTTGGGCGGTCGATAGCTGCGACCGCTGATGAGTGTAAGTCGAACGCTAAGCGTTTGTTCGTCACTGACGCTAAAACTAAAGTGCAGTTTTTAGTCGACACTGGATCTGATTTGTGTGTTTACCCGTTAAGCTTAGTGCGCATGCAGCGACGCAATAAAACTAATTATGAGCTTTTCGCTGCAAATAATACTGTAATTTCTACATATGGTTGGTTAAGTTTATGTTTAGATTTAGGTTTAAGGCGCGCATTTTCTTGGCGCTTTGTAATAGCTAATGTGAGCAAGCCGATAATAGGTGTAGACTTTCTATCCTTCTATAACTTACTCGTGGACGTACGTAATTCGCGATTAATTGATAATTGCACTTCGCTTACGTCAGTCGCCTCGAATGCATTTGCTTGCCCGTGCCCGCACATAAAGGTCATTTTAGGTGATTCATCGTTCCATCGGATACTCCAAGAATATCCTGATATAATGCGGCCGGTCGGAGCTCCTTTGGAGCCAAAAATCAAGCACCATACGCAGCATTATATCAGAACGACCCCAGGCCCACCTGTGTGTTCGCGACTAAGGCGACTAGCACCTGATCGCTTAAAAATCGCGAAGCAGGAGTTTGAAGAAATGGTTCGTACGGGTATAGCGCGTAGGTCGGAGAGCTCATGGTCGTCACCCCTCCATTTAGTGCCTAAAAAGGGCGAAGGTTGGCGACCCTGTGGGGATTACCGTGCACTAAATGCTCGCACGATACCAGATCGATACCCAGTACGCCACATTGCTGACTTTTCACACAATCTCTTTAATCGTAAAATTTTTAGTAGACTAGACTTAGTGCGAGCGTACCATCAGATACCGGTTGCGATAGAGGATGTAGAGAAGACAGCTATTACGACACCTTTCGGACTTTTTGAGTTCCCACTAATGAACTTTGGCCTGCGAAATGCCGCGCAAACCTTCCAGCGCTTTATGGACGAGGTCCTCAGGGATCTCGATTTCTGCTTTGCGTACATCGATGACGTATTAGTTGCTTCCGCTAATGAGATGGAGCACCAGGAACATCTACGTGCGGTATTTTCGCGTTTCAGCGAATACGGTATTTTATTAAATACAAATAAGTGTGTATTCGCCGTGCCGCAGGTGGAGTTTCTGGGCTACCTGGTTTCTTCGGAAGGCACTAAACCGGTTGGTGACAAGGTGAAGGCTATTCTCGACTTTAAACTACCTAAAACTATCAGGGATCTTAGGCGGTTTTTAGGAGCATTAAACTTTTATAGACGCTTTATACAGGATGCTGCCAAGCTTCAGGCTCCTCTCCATGCACTACTTAGTGGTCCATCGGTGAAGAGCAAGAGCAACATTAACTGGACTGCTAACCTAGAAAGCGCTTTTAATGCTTGCAAGGCAAGCATCGCTAATGCCGCTCTTCTGGCTCATCCAGATATGTCTGCTCCGTTGGCCATAGTAACTGACGCATCCAACTCCGCCATTGGTTCAGTATTGCAGCAGAAGGTCCTAGGTCATTGGCAGCCGTTAGGATTCTTTTCGCGTAAGCTTTCACCAACGCAAATTAAATACAGTGCATATGATCGTGAACTCTTAGCTATTTACGAGTCAGTAAAATATTTTCGACATATGATAGAATTAAAACCCTTCTTTATAATGACTGATCATAAACCAATTATTTCAGCCTTTAAGAAGTCCCGCGACGCTTGCTCCCCGCGACAATTTAGGTATTTAGATTTTATATCCCAATTCACAACGGATATCCGTCACATTACCGGGAAGGACAATGTTGTTGCGGATGCGTTATCGAGAACGGATGCAATAACATGTTCGCTAGACCCTATTGCCTTAGCAGCTTCTCAGGACACGGACTCAGAACTCAAAAATATTTTGCGAACCGGTTCGTCTCTCAAGTTACAGAAGGTCTGTATTGGTGGTACGAAAATCTTCTGTGACATATCTGGGCCCAGACATAGACCATTCATAACACCTGCATTCCGTAAAATGGTTTTTGATAATATTCATGGACTTAGTCATCCAAGTGCTAGGGCCACTATCAAATTGGTGACTGAGAGGTATGTATGGCCGGGCATTAGGAAGGATTGCCGGAATTGGGCGCGCTGGTTAAGAGTGATGACCCCTCTAATATCTGCTTTACAAGCACTCCTAATAAGTAGGCCGTGCGTCACCGTACGGATCGCTTAGTAAGATGTAAATTTATATAAATACTAGAATAATTGATTGTTAGATTGATATTGGTTTTGGAAGTAATTATAAGTTGTAACGCTGTTACTTTATATAAATAAATTATATTTTTTAGTAAAGTCGTTGTTGTTAACTTAATTGGCGCAGCCGGTAGGATATTCGTAGTTGTTTAGGAGAATCTGTATCGTCGGTTATAATCATCGTGATCCAGTATCGGTATCCTGACAACGTGCGTTTCAACGCTTTGACGAATATCACCGAACAAACAAATAAATTAAGAACTTCGCGACTCCAGCAGAAACAGCCGAGACTCCAGAACCAGCAATATCCCAGAGGGACATGGGCAGACCTGCGAGACTGTGAGTAAAACTCTTCACTTCCCGTAACTTTCCTTTTGTTCCCTCTTGTACTAGTTATACGTAGGTATTGTCTTGGATTAGAAAACGCCATAACAATACTCTTCTACTAAGCAATCTAAATTTTATTAGTAGATCTTAGTTAAATCAATTTTATTTGGGTATATTTTTTTTATTTGTGTGTGTGATAGTTATTTTATTTTTAAAATGGAAAACATTGAAAGAATCCCCGTAGAGATGACAAAAATTATCCCACTTTTTGATGGAGACGCTAGACTACTACCTTTATTCATAAAAAAATGTGAATATATTTTACAAAGATTCCAAGGTAGTAATTTACAAAATGAATATTTATTTCATGTCATTACTAGTCGCTTGACAGGGGAAGCCGCTAATTTAGTGGGAGAAAGGGAACAGATAGACTCTTGGGCAGACCTCAAGTCGTTGCTAAACCAACACTTTGGCGATCCAAGGTCCGAAGAATGCTTAGCTATGGAGTTAGAAAGTCTAAGAAAATATAGAAACGAAAGTTACCAAGAATTTTGTCACCGGGTACAACATTTAAAAAGCATTTTGTTTTCTAAAATAAACGAAACTATTAATAACCGAGACTTACGACTAGCTAAACAAACTATATACGACAACACGGCATTGAATGTTTTCTTATACAATTTACCTGCTTATTTAGTGAGATTAGTGAGACTACGTAATGTTACTACCTTAGAAGATGCATTAAAAATCGTCTTAGAGGAACAGAACTTCCAAACAGTCTATGATAATAGGAACCAAAGGTCTAATCAAAATTTTAGACAAAACCATTTCCAAAATCATCCTAACTTTAACCGTAATAGTAATTATAAAGGCCCAAGTTTTCAATCTCAAACAAACGGCCATCCATCGTATAACCAAAATAATTCATTTAATTCAAATAATATTTCTCCTCACTTCGGGAATAATCATACAATGAACAATAGAAATAACTTAATTACGAACTCTGCAACTAGGTCGCCAGTACGACCGTCATCGGCGCAACACCGTCAGCATTTTTCGCGAAACGCAACGAATAATATGCAATATCAAGCGCCACATGTGTCGTCGAACTCAAGTACTGACGTCACAATGAGGACAGCTAGTTCAAGACGCGTAAATTATACAGACACTGAAAATAATATTCAACCTAGTACCTCGCAAAACCAAGGTGATTTTAACGCTTATTCGGCCGATAGGGAATATGAACAGATAGGAAATTTTTTTATAATAGCCTCAACAATACGGAAAAAATAGAGATTAATTATACAAAAATTTTAAATTTGCCTCATATACGTATACCAGAATTGAATGCAGTTTTCATGTTAGACACGGGGAGCACAAGATCGTTTATCAGCCCGGAGGTAGCAAATTATTATTATAAAAGTTTTAAGCTATTCGAGCCTTTCGAAGTCATCAGCACTCATGCGTCAAGTAGACATGAGGAAGTTGTTTATATTACCTTGCCTAGCATTTTTAAAACTCAAATAAAACATAAATTTTACGTTTATAGTGTGGACGAAAGATATGATGGCTTAATAGGAAGCGAATTATTAAAAGTTTTAGATGCTTCTATCGATATGAAAAATTTAACTCTAATTACAAAAAATGCTAAAATTCCTATAATTTATTCACCACCGATAAAAAAAACGTATATGTTGCCGCCAAGATGTGAACTTAGAGTTTCATTACCAGTAAACCTAAGTAAAGGAGAAGCAATTTTGAATCACGTACAATTTAGCGAAGGTGTTAGAATGCCGACAGCTTTGGTTAAGTGTGAAAATAGTCTCGCCACCACAGTAATACAAAATTGTACTGACGTAGAACAAAAACTGGTAGTTACGTCACCTTTTAAAGTGGAACCATTTGAAATAGCAACATTATTAAAGAAAAACAATGAAACAAATTTAAATTTTGCAAATCACCGAGATGTAAACGAACTACTTCATGAAAATTTAAAAAAGTTGAGGTTAGATCATATGAATGAAGAGGAGAAAAATATGATAGAAAAATTATGTAGAGAATATAAAGATATCTTCTACTGCGAACATTTACCCTTAACATTTACTAATGAAGTAAAACACGAGATAAGGACTAAAAACGAGGATCCAATCAATATTAAAGCTCACCGTCTACCACCAGTCCAAACGGAAGAAATAAAAAGACAGGTAGAAAAAATGTTAAAAGATAACATTATTCAGGAATCTCACTCTCCTTGGAGTGCACCGGTTCATCTAGTGCCAAAAAAATTAGACGCATCGGGTATCAAAAAATGGAGAATGGTCATAGATTATCGAAGAATAAACGAAATTACGACTGATGATAAATATCCTTTGCCCAACATTAACGATCTATTCGACATGTTAGGTAAAAGTACATATTTTACAACACTGGACTTAGCATCAGGCTATCACCAGATAGAAGTCAGAGAAGAAGATAGATCAAAGACCGCATTTAGTACACCTTTCGGTCACTATGAGTTTAATAGAATGCCTTTTGGAATGAAGACAGCTCCTGCTACGTTTCAAAGAGCAATGGACAACGTGCTGAGAGGACTACAAGGAATACATTGTTTAGTCTATTTGGACGATGTCATTATTTTCTCAAAAAGCTTACCTGAACACATAGAAAAACTTAAAGCCGTTTTTGAAAGATTTAGAAGAACAAACCTCAAAGTACAGCTGGATAAGTCACATTTTTTAAGAAAAGAGGTGTTGTACTTAGGTCATACAATAACTAATGAGGGCCTCAAGCCCAATACAGATAAAATAGATGCTGTACTTAAGTACCCTCTTCCAAAAACAGTGACAGAAATCAAAAGTTTTTTAGGATTAGTCGGTTACTATCGCAAATTCATCAAAGACTTTGCGAAAATAACAAGACCTCTTACAGCTTGTTTAAAAAAGGGTAATAAGATAATTTTGAACGAAGAATATAAGGAAAGTTTTGAAACCTGTAAAAAACTTTTAACAAATGCTCCATTATTACAATTTCCAGATTTTGAAAAACCTTTTATATTAACAACCGATGCATCCAATTTTGCTATTGGAGCGGTTCTATCACAGGGCACTATTGGAAACGATAAACCAATAGCTTACGCAAGTAGGACATTAAGTGACACAGAAACTAGATATAGTACTATAGAAAAAGAGCTTTTAGCGGTAGTTTGGGCGGTAAAACATTTCAGACCCTATTTATACGGAAAAAAATTTACTATTTATACGGACCACAGGCCTCTAGCCTGGCTATACTCTCTTAAAGAACCCAACAGTAAGTTAACCCGTTGGCGACTTAGATTGGAAGAATACGATTTTGAAATTAAATATAAAAAAGGACAGCAAAACACAAACGCAGATGCCCTGTCAAGAATAAGATTAAACGCATTAGATAACGATCTCGACTCAACTTTAGCTAATATAGACGATGAAGATGAACGTATAAAACAAATAGTCAAAGAATTAAACGACGAATTTGTAACAATTAGAGATAAGAAACCTAAAACACCATCAGTTATATCAAATTACGACACAGAAAGTGAAAGATCCATAGTTGTTTCTGATATCGAAGTTGAGCCACCAATGGAACTGATGGAATTATCAGACGATGGTGTCACAGCTAACTCAATATCAAACAGGGAACATGAAGGGATTCCTATCCTGAATGAAGCTATAGACACAAAACCACGTCAAATTTTAGTCTCCACATGGTTTACTGATAAAATATCTGTTAAAGATATTTCAAATAAGAAGCAACGTATACTAGAAGTTCACATGCCTCTAAATAATGAGAGACTTGTCAAACAGTTTCTTAAAGAATATATTGATTTTAAACATAAATATTATATCTATTTCGAAAACGCGGAATTCAGGAAATCTTTTAGTAGAGTAGTAATCGAATTATACAAAAAGGGAACTTATAATTTGATCGAATGTACAGACAGAATAGTTAATCTAACCGATTCAGAACAAGACCAAAGACGAGTAGTTGTAGCGTACCACGAAGGAAAAACGTGTCATAGAGGTATCAACGAGACCTTAGCAAAAATCAAAAGACACTACTGGTGGGCAAACATGAAAGAAACTATAACAGCCATTATTAATTCATGCGAGCCGTGTCGAAAAATGAAATACGAAAGAAAACCCATAAAACCTCTTATCCAACTAACACAAAATCAATACAGCCCATTCCAAGAAGTCTTCATGGATCTTTTATTTATAGAAAAACAGTATTACCTTACTGTGGTTGATGCTTTCAGTAAGCTTGGACAGGCTATAAACATTCCCAATAGAAGTACACCAGAAGTAGTCAGAGCATTAATAAAATATTTCAGTATGTACGGAATTCCACGCAAAATAAACAGCGATTCCGGAGCTGAATTTAATAATGAACTAATTAAAGAACTTTTAAACCTGTACAAAATAGAACTTCATATTAGCACACCAAATAATCCTAGTTCAATGGCCATAGTGGAAAGATTCCACTCCACAGTAATCGAAATATATAGGTTGGCAAAGTATGATAAAAGTGATCTTGATGCATGTTCAGTAATGACATACGCTATAATGGCATACAATAATAGTATCCATTCAGCAACGGAATTCACGCCTTTTGAAATAGTTTTCGGTAATACTGACAGCGGTAATATTTTTGATATTAATAGGGAACACAACCTAATGCAAAAGCTATTGCAAGATCACAGAAAACGCCTAAAAGTACTCTACGAATATGTTGGGGAAAAACTAAAAGATAATAAAGCCAAAGTTAGGAACAAGAAAGGAGGTGAAGAAATACCAAAACTCAAAGAAGGTGATACAGTATTTATGAAAACAACTCGGACAAGGAAAGCTAAGGAATTACCACGTTATGAAAAAGCAAAAGTAATAGGTGAAACAAATCGTAACATTGTTCCAGTAGAGTTAAATAAAAGAAAAACTAGAGTAGCTGCTAAAAACATAAAACGTCCTCCACAGGTCGTGGCTGGTACTTCTGGCACTTGTGAACCAGATCCACAGCCTGGAACTTCAAAATCTGGAGCGGAACCCGGGAATAACCATGCTGAAATATGGAACAGCAGTGATGAGGAGTAGTTATTGGACAGTTTACAAAACAGTAGAGATAAACGCATTAGGAATACAAATAAATAATAATATAAATATATACAACAAAATTAATACAATTATAACAGAAAATAGCCTAGAAAAAGAACTATTAGTTATACAAAAACAAATAGACTGGTTAGTTAAATTAGTTCAGGACAAATACGATCAAATAAGTCCTATCCATAAAAGAAAAAGAGCCATTATGAGTCCTTTGGGGTCCATAATAAAAATTATATCAGGTAATTTAGATGAAGAAGATGCCATCAAATTCAACGAAGAAATCGCAAATTTGAGAGTTAAAGAAAACTTAGCAGAACGTAAAGTATCGTCAATGCAAAAAGCGTTTAATGCGTTAACCAATGTATCTGAGGTTATCAATAGTAACGTTGAAAACTTGCACTTTAAGTTTAAACAAGTTGACAAACTAGAGTCAAAAACTGACAATGTCATTCGTACAATGAATAGCCTTTATCAAATTCTTAATAACTTTCGTTACATTTATGAAAATATCCAGGAAATTGAAACAGCCATAGCATTCAGTAAATTACGCACCCTACATCAATCTATCATTAATTCTACAGAATTACTAAACATTTTTAAAACTATAGAACAAAATGCACAAACTATTTACCCAGTAACAAGAAATAACTTATTAAAATTAGAACGTAACATTATCCTAAAATGTTATATAGATAAAGATAAAATAGTTTTTATTTTAGAAATACCATTAATAGAAAAAGAAACGTATAACTATTACAAGATTATTCCCATCCCTAAAAAAAAATTAACCAGCACCTATACTATAATTCCTAAATATCCCTACCTATTAGTGAATGGTTTGAAATACAGAAACGTAGTAAATCCGTGTACCCAGATAGAGTCGAACAAACACTTATTTTCGGAGGAAAATATAGCACCAGTTGAGGAAGAAACATGCATTGAGGAAATAATGCTGATTAAAAACAACTTCAGTCATTGCCAGCAACATGAAATAAAAATAGAAAAGCTGAAAATACAGAAAATAACTTTTGACCACTGGATACTATATGCAGAAGACAATGTTATACTGACGGAGCAGTGCAAAGATGATACCCACAGAATTAATCTACAGGGGACATACATCTTGACGCCGAGCAAAGGTTGCAGCATACAGATAGGAAAAATAATAATTGGCCTATCGAGTAATATGTCAGATGCCAGTCTGCAGATACCACTTGTGAAGATTCCGGAGGTGCAGTACGACATGCCGAAAGAAAAAAAGAGTTTGGATTTAACAAACGTGGACTTTAGTGACGTTAAAGAAATCATGAATAGTGCTAGAAATAGTGAAATGGTGGTAGAAACTTTAGTGACTAGTAAAATAAGTATATGGACTTTAAGTCTTTATGTTGTAATACTGTTAATTATAATTTTTATTGTATTTAAATGGAAATTTAATAGTTTAAGTCAGAGACAAAATTATCCGAAGTCAACTCCGTTTCCTTCGAATAATTTTTCTCTTGGGGAGGGAGAGGTTAAGAGTGATGACCCCTCTAATATCTGCTTTACAAGCACTCCTAATAAGTAGGCCGTGCGTCACCGTACGGATCGCTTAGTAAGATGTAAATTTATATAAATACTAGAATAATTGATTGTTAGATTGATATTGGTTTTGGAAGTAATTATAAGTTGTAACGCTGTTACTTTATATAAATAAATTATATTTTTTAGTAAAGTCGTTGTTGTTAACTTAATTCGCTCGTGTATCTCATGCCAGAGATCGAAAGTATCGAGACACGTACACGCCCCTATCCAGGATTTTAAGCTTCCTACGGCCCGTTTCTCTCACGTTCACGTAGACTTGATAGGTCCACTTCCCGTCTCTGATGATTACCGATACTGCTTCACAGCTATAGATAGGTTTACCAGGTGGCCGGAGGCAGTGCCGTTAAAGGATATCAGAGCGGAGAGTGTAACAAAAGCTTTTATATCATCGTGGATATCACGTTTTGGTTGCCCAGAAAAGGTAACCACAGATAGGGGGAAACAGTTTGAATCTCATCTTTTCAGGCAGATATCAGCGCTTATAGGTTCACGACATATACAAACTACTGCGTATCACCCGGCTGCCAATGGTCTAGTGGAACGCTTCCATCGACAACTTAAGGCAGCTATTATGTGTCACGCAGACGAGAACTGGACTGAGAAACTTCCACTTGTACTTCTGGGTATTCGTAGTGCATGGAAGGATGATTTGTCTGCTTCTACTGCTGAACTAGTTTACGGAGAACCGCTTAAGTTACCCGGCGACTTGTTTGAACCGACGGCTGATAGACTGACTGACTACACCGACTTTCTGGACAGGTTGCGTTTACATATGAAAAGGTTACAACCTACACCAGATACTGGACATGGTACACGTAAAATCTTCGTTTTTAAAGATTTAGCGACTGTTTCACATGTATTTTTACGACAGGACTTTGTACGGAGATCGTTACAACCACCTTATGCCGGTCCGTATAAGGTAATAGAGCGCGGTAAAAAAAATTTCAAAATTGACGTTGCTGGTAGAATAGTCAACGTTTCTATCGACAGGTTGAAACCGGCCTATATCCTGACGGATGAACCAGGTAGTTCTGGTGCGACGTCGACTATACCAAGGACGCAGGGGACTAACGCTGCGAGTGATGGTACAAGAGCACTTTCAACTCCTCCGCAATTCAGGACGTCTCACTACGGTCGCCGAGTACGATTCCCTGATTTCTATCGACCTTAAAGGTCTCCAGGGGGGCTGATGTGGCGACATGCATTTTTGTCATTCTTTTGCATGTTTAAGTAACGGCGTGTGCGCCGACGCGAGGTTCGTGTCGGTTGGGGTCGGAAATGCTCGGCCCCGTTAGCGCTGCCTTCGTGACGGTCCGGGCGTCTTCGGTTTTTACTGGCAGTCAGCATTTAAACGGCCTCAACGCTAGACCTCACACTCGCGCCGGCGGAATAACGGTTATTTTTAAATCAACGTCTAACTTATTCTCGGCTTCCTATCTCGAGCACTCCTTACTTCTAATTAGTAATTGTATTTTCATTATTCATTGTTTTTTGCTACGTACTTATAAATTTAAATTGCCTGTGTAATAGCAGAATATATCTACATTTTGTTTTTGAGAGTGAAGACGCTTTTATTTGCCTAGCAACAACCCCACAAGTTAAAGTGACGATCAGATTAGTTTTAGATAATATTAAGTCAAAGTGATTCTACAATGAGACTGATTAAAGTTCTGGATACATAAACACATGCTTAGTTTAAAATTATTGAGCTAGTAAGGAAGAATGACTAAGTTTTGTAAAAGAAAGAACGTTATTTTTGTTATTATTAGTTACCATATAAATTGTTATTGTAATTTACATTTTAATTTTATATGAATACTTAAAAATGTTTCTAAAGATCTCAAAAATCAAAAATCTCGAGGAGCATCCTCAGGTGATTGCCATTTCAAAAAGTGGAAAGAGACGAAAACAAAAACCGAATTTTGCACTTGATCTTCCTATCTTATCCCCAAATGGGCGTGAACTATCAGCTGCGAAAATTCAAGACTTAAAAGATTTGTTCCATAACTCAGTCATTAATTGACTAACATTTTATAGTTTCTTCAAAAGAGTCTTGACCTTACTTACAAGTTTAACATGTCCTCTAAAAAGGGTAAACAGCAATGGGGGAATAAAACCTCCCATAAGCCATTGGAGATTCCTCCAAATTTTGAAAAGAATCTTTCTGGTGAACTTGGATATGACAAAACTCTAGTGGACACCATGAACATCCCAGACATCAACACTCCCTCCACCTCTTCCTTACAAAAGAAGCAGTTAGACAACCCAAAAACTGTTCCCCCCTCCACTGCAGCTGAATCAAAAAATGCCAAGAAGATTAACTCGCCTCCATCACAACAGGACCCCAATAAGACCTCATCGCGACCATCAGATCCTGAAGAGAACCCTGTAGAGCTGTTTCAAATCGGGTGGGCAAATCTGAAAGCAGAATATCAGTACACCTCTAGCAACCTTAAAGTAATAGAAGACCAGACATTATAAAGTTAATCAAAAGTACTCTCCCCCTCCCTGCAACAATAGTTATATTACTGGACGACCAATGGGAAAGCTTAGGGAAGGATCGTATCAACATATTCCTCACAACTTACTTCATTTCACCTCCCCTCACGGGACCCCGAATGATGCCCCGGATCCTGGTTCTTTTCTAAGAAGCATGATAGCCTCTATGATTGAGAGGGAGAGACTCACACTAAAAGATGTGATGGAAAATATGGCTAATCTAGCTGCAGATCAGAAACTTGCAGCCCATTCTGTTCATGAGTTCAAAAAGTCAGTTACATCTGCGGAGAAAAGTTGGAGAGATCAGTCCTCAATTATATCGACTACATACTACTCTAAATTGGAGGAACATGTGAAGACTTGGTTAGAGAAGTTCACCAATCCAACAACCGCCCCCAAAGATGTGCCACCACCCAAGATTACAAAGAAGGTTATCAAATATGCTCAATTTACCTACGAGCTTGAAGAAGGTTAGATATCTGTAAAACCTCATGTACCTATAACGAAGATGATCAGTTCTATAGAATCCCAACTTAAGGAGCTTCTCTCTCGTTACCCTGACACACAAGAACTGCTATACTACGACCCAGCACTTTTGGTTAAAAGTTTTTGGGGTGTTTGCCGACCATGCATATTAACCCATTTCATTAAGTATCAGAAACAATCAACTATAAAATTTGTAATCATTCCAACAGATGTAAAAGGATGTTATAATTTCTTGAGGAACGTTAAGTCGGGTGATTTTATTGATGATGCTGATGGCTTGGGTAATTCTATTGATTTCGATATAGAAGAAAATTTGATTGAAGATTAAGCACTTTCTTGTTAACTTACACGTTAGTTGTTATGATTTTTTGGCTATATTAGTTAAAGTGACGATCAGATTAGTTTTAGATAATATTAAGTCAAAGTGATTCTACAATGAGACTGATTAAAGTTCTGGATACATAAACACATGCTTAGTTTAAAATTATTGAGCTAGTAAGGAAGAATGACTAAGTTTTGTAAAAGAAAGAACGTTATTTTTGTTATTATTAGTTACCATATAGATTGTTATTGTAATTTACATTTTAATTTTATATGAATACTTAAAAATGTTTCTAACGATCTCAAAAATCAAAAATCTCGAGGAGCATCCTCAGGTGATTGCCATTTCAAAAAGTGGAAAGAGACGGAAACAAAAACCGAATTTTGCACTTGATCTTCCTATCTTATCCCCAAATGGGCGAGAACTATCAGCTGCGAAAATTCAAGACTTAAAAGATTTGTTCCATAACTCAGTCATTAATTGACTAATATTTTATATTTTCTTCAAAAGAGTCTTGACCTTACTTACAAGTTTAACATGTCCTCTAAAAAGGGTAAACAGCAATGGGGGAATAAAACCTCCCATAAGCCATTGGAGATTCCTCCAAATTTTGAAAAGAATCTTTCTGGTGAACTTGGATATAACAAAACTCTAGTGGACACCATGAACATCCCAGACATCAACACTCCCTCCACCTCTTCCTTACAAAAGAAGCAGTTAGACAACCCAAAAACTGTTCCCCCCTCCACTGCAGCTGAATCAAAAAAGGCCAAGAAGATTAACTCGGCTCCATCACAACAGGACCCCAATAAGACCTCATCCCGACCATCAGATCCTGAAGAGAACCCTGTAGAGCTGTTTCAAATCGGGTGGGTAAATCTGAAAGCAGAATGTCAGGACACCTCTAGCAACCTTAAAGTTAATGAAATTAGAAGACCAGACATTTTAAAGTTAATCAAAAGTACTCTCCCCTTCCCTGCAACAATAGTTACATTACTGGACGACCAATGGGAAAGCTTAGGGAAGGATCGTATCAACATATTCCTCACAACTTACTTCATTTCACATCCCCCTCACGGGACCCCGAATGATGCCCCGGATCCTGGTTCTTTTCTAAGACGCATGATAGCCTCTATGATTGAGGGGGAGAGACTCACACTAAAAGATGTGATGGAAAATATGACTAATCTAGCTGCAGATCAGAAACTTGCAGCCCATTCTGTTCATGAGTTCAAAAAGTCAGTTACATCTGCGGAGAAAAGTTGGAGAGATCAGTCCTCAATTATATCGACTACATACTACTCTAAATTGGAGGAACATGTGAAGACTTGGTTAGAGAAGTTCACCAATCCAACAACCGCCCCCAAAGATGTGCCACCACCCAAGATTACAAAGAAGGTTATCAAATATGCTCAATTTACCTACGAGCTTGAAGAAGGTCAGATATCTGTAAAACCTCATGTACCTATAACGAAGATGATCAGTTCTATAGAATCCCAACTTAAGGAGCTTCTCTTTCGTTAACCTGACACACAAGAACTGCTACACTACGACCCAGCACTTTTGGTCAAAACTTTATGGAGTGTTGCAAAAGCAAACCCTAAAGAAAGCACTATGTCCTCTCTAACCAAGACAATGTCTCAGATCCCACGGCATTGCCGACCATGCATATTAACCCATTTCATTAAGTATCAGAAACAATCAACTATAAAATTTGTAATCATTCCAACAGATGTAAAAGGATGTTATAATTTCTTGAGGAACGTTAAATCGGGTGATTTTATTGATGATGCTGATGGCTTGGGTAATTCTATTGATTTCGATATAGAAGAAAATTTGATTGAAGATTAAGCACTTTCTTGTTAACTTACACGTTAGTTGTTGTGATTTTTTGGCTATATTAGTTAAAGTGACGATCAAATTAGTTTTAGGTAATAATAAGTCAAAGTGATTCTACAATGAGACTGATTAAAGTTCTGGATACATAAACACATGCTTAGTTTAAAATTATTGAGCTAGTAAGGAAGAATTTCTAAGTTTCATAAAAGAAAGAACGTTATTTTTGTTATAATTAGTTACCATATAAATTGTTATTGTAATTTATATTTTAATTTTATATGAATACTTAAAAATGTTTCTAAAGATCTCAAAAATCAAAAATCTCGAGGAGCAACCTCAGGTGATTGCCATTTCAAAAAGTGGAAAGAGTCGGAAACAAAAACCGAATTTTGCACTTGATCTTCCTATCTTATCCCCAAATGGGCGAGAACTATCATCTGCGAAAATTCAAGACTTAAAAGATTTGTTCCATAACTCAGTCATTAATTGACTAACATTTTATATTTTCTTCAAAAGAGCCTTGACCTTACTTACAAGCTTAACATGTCCTCTAAAAAAGGTAAACAGCAATGGGGGAATAAAACTTCCCATAAGCCATTGGAGATTCCACCAAATTTTGAAAAGAATCTTTCTGATGAACTTGGATATGACAAAACTCTAGTGGCAGCATGAACATCCCAGACATGAACACTCCCTCTACCTCTTCCTTACAAAAGAAACAGTTAGACAACCCAAAAACTGTTCCCCCCTCCACTGCAGCTGAATCAAAAAAGGCCAAGAAGATTAACTCGGCTCCATCACAACAGGACCCCAATAAGACCTCATCCCGACCATCAGATCCTGAAGAGAACCCTGTAGAGCTGTTTCAAATCGCGTGAGCAAATCTGAAAGCAGAATGTCAGGACACCTCTAGCAACCTTAAAGTAATCGAAACTAGAAGACCAGACATTTTAAAGTTAATCAAAAGTACTCTCCCCCTCCCTGCAACAATAGTTACATTACTGGACGACCAATGGGAAAGCTTA